TAAACTTAAAATTTTTTCTTACTTTTTAATTACACATTCTTCCAAAAATTACTATTCAAAACTATATTTGCTCCAAAATAATGTTTATCAAACAAAGGCTTAAAACTAGGCCCCACTCATCAAGAAAAATATGCAAAAAAAAAAACGTAGAACAGTCTTCTTGACTTGGAGTCTTCTATGGAAGACAGTTGGAAACTTTGGACAGTTTACCTGTTTACAGAAAGTCCAGTCAAAAAGAAATGCCATACAGAAACATTAATATTTCTTTGTCCAAATTGACTTCTGTTTGGACCCCCTTCTGAATTTCCAAAGCTGCAGGTGGTGGAATAGGTAGATACATATTAACTTGTAAGGAAATTAATGTCATTAGATATATCTTCACTAAGCAAGAACATCGGTATTGAAATTAACAATGGCTACACCATTGGAGTAAGTCCTCTTTTCTTTCCTAGTTTCGTCATAGAGCATGAATCTGATATATATTCTGTTGGTTTTTTATTTTAAACTATTTGTAGCACATCATCCATGAACATTTTTTTCTATGAATTTTAATGTATAGTTCGAGTGAGTTTGAACTATCCCGTTTAAACTTTTAAAGGGGAACAACTTTATTTGTTATTCCCTTGGCTTCAGCATGGTCTCTCGCCGTCTCGCGTAGCCAACAGATTCATATCTAAGTTTACATCGATGGACAGGGCAGAGACTAAAACTCCTTCTAACAATTAGAAAGTATTTACCTAGGGAAAATAGATCATTTTCAGGTACCCTCTATGGTAAAGAACTTTCTGATTGCTCTCTTTTTAATAACAGCTTTTTGGGATGATTTTATTAGGACTTGGGTTACAACTTAAAATGTGAGCAGTCCAAATTCTAATAAATTGGTGTATTTTTCATCCTTATTCAATGTAGAATTCATCCCTTAACATATCCCACAAGATAGTGGCTCATTTGAGCAGACTAATCTTTAGAAATTCGTGTGCTCATTTTTTGAGTCTTAATCGAGTTGTTCGTTGAAATTTGAAGGGGGCTGTGATACCATATAAGATTTGGACTACTCCTCTTAAAAGTTCAATATTTTTAAGAGGAGTGGTCCAAACTCTTATAAACTGGTCTATATTTTCATCTTTATTCAATGTGAGATTTTATCCCTTAACATGTCAACTCAAGATGGTTGCTCGTTTGAACAAACCAATCTTGAAATTTGGGTGCTCATTTTTTGAGTCTGATCGAGTTTTAATCCGATCAAATTGCTCGTTAGAGTTTAATGAGTTTTGAAACCACGCTAAGATTTGAATTCCAACTGAAAATATCAACTTTATTAAAATGAGTAGTTCAAACCCTAATAAATTGATTTACGTTTTCATCCTCATTTGATGTGTGATTTATCCCTTGACAAATTTCATTAGGACTTAAACTATACATGCCTCAAAAATATAAAGAAATCTATTTCTCGATGATATTCAAGTTTATATGTATGAAGTTTGCTTCCAGTATAATGGTACAAAGATCAGCCTCTCTAAACACTTCATTTTTCTCAGATACTATAACTCGATACCACCAGTAACAAAGACATATGCTGTGGCCTGTTTATTCGCCACAGGCGCTTATACCCTGGAGCTTTACAACATTCGGAACATTGCACTTCTGTACTCAGATGTGTTCAAAAGATTTCAGGTAATTCTCATATTTATGTGGGACAAATATTTTCGTGATATCGAAGCAAAAGGACAATAGAGTAATATCAGATCAGAGATAGCCTAATCAAGATTTTAATGTCAAACTTTTCTTTGATGCAGATTTGGAGGCTCATCACACCCCTCTTCTTCATAGGGCCATTTTCCTTAACGTTTGCTTTCAGACTCTTGACAATGTAAGGAGAAAGTGTAATTTGTTAATTGCTCCATTCATACAAATGATTGCCATAAATTTTTTAAAAATTTAGAATATTACATCTGAGACAGTACAATGTTAATATATATTTTTATCTTGTTAGATTGTACTATGGAACTCAGTTAGAAAGGGGGCCTTTTGACAAGAGGACAGCAGATTTAGTATGGATGTATGTATTTGGAGCAGCCTCGCTCTTGGTAATTCCTAAACAACGCAAGAGTTTGGTTAATAAATGAACTTATAATCGAATAATAGGGTGGTACAAGTAATTTGAATTAGACAAACAATGTAGTCATATACATGTTTACTTGCATTTAGGTTATGGCAGCTATTCCGTACCTGTGGACACCATTTTTGGGACCATCCATGGTTCTTGTTATTGCTTACGTCTGGGGTCGAGAATTCCCAAATGCTCGTATCAATATACATGGCCTGTTTGAGTTAAAGGTATGTTATTTAGTCGAAATGAGTTTTCATTTTCGTATTCCATGTTTTTCCACAAGCTTCTCGACAACATTAGTACACAAAAAAAGTTAATTGCATAAGTGATTTTTGCTTATTTAATTGCAGGGATTCTACATTGCTTACTATATGATAGTAGCAGAATTGGTTCTTGGAAATCCATTGAAACAAGCTATGATTGGGATTGCCGCAGGACATCTCTACTACTTCATGACAGTTCTCTATCCTCTTAAGACCGGAAATAATATCTTAAAGACTCCTCGTTGGATGTATCCTTCATTTCCATGAAATATCGTTGCATTTAGATATTATTATTTTTTAAATTCTGCATTGGTGATATCAGTTCTAGAAAAAGGCCATACGTAAGGGCTTTTCCTTCACAGGCATTTTACAGGCTGATTGAAACTGTTTTTTTTCCCCCCTAACTTCCAGTGAAATTTTGCCAAGTGTCATCTGTGAAATGCACCTGTACGTGTAGCATTGTTGTCAGTTCTATTCCTTAATCCTTTTTCTAGTCATAAACTGGTAGCATTCTGGGGAAAGGGCTTCCAAATTAATTCTCCATTCAGAAACGACCCTGCGGAAGGAGTAGCTTTTAGGGGGAGAGGTCGTCGCCTGAATGGAAGCAGAAGCACTTCAACAAGATCAGAACGAAGAGATTCTGAGCCGGTCGACACAGGCACCCCAGCACCATCGAGTTCAGGTTCTGGCGTGTCTTTTCGTGGCAGAAGCCACCGCCTAGGTAGTCGGTAGACACCTTGTAATCAATCCTATCTAATAAAGTCAGTCCTAGATACGACAACAGATGTATGATGGCATCATTTTGACAGTTTCTGGTTGCAAAGATTTAAGGTATCATTTTAAAATATTAATATTTTTAATAAGAGGAGATCAAACATGTTGATTTATATTTTGATAAGTAATCGATAGGAATTTGACCTTTAATATGACTGGCAAGATGGTGACTCGTTTGAATATATCAATCTTGAATTTCATGTGCTAATTTTTTAGTCTTAATAAAAAAAAAATTAAACTTAATGGGCTTTGATATCCTATTAAAGTTTGATATTCTATCTTAAAAGGTCCACATTTCTTTTTCAATTATTGGGTTTATAGTTATTCATGAAATAATATTCTCTCGTCCTATAAATTTAAACAAAACTTAAGGCATGTTTGGAAGTTACTTATAAATAGTATATATACATATAAAGGAGTGGTTGATAAGTGAGAATACTTATTTTACGAAATATGTGAATAAAAAGTGAAATTATTGATTATAAACCAATCATGCTATAAGTATAGACAAATTTGACAGAAAATATTTACAGACAACACTTGACATACATTCATTGGAAAATGGAAAAAAATAAAAACAAAATAGGCGAATCACACTTTGCCACCTCAATGTCGATTAAAAAATCTGTCAAACATTTTATCTACTTGGTACTTTTTCCATTATAAACACTAACCAACAAAGGGCTTTAACGTGTGCTTTGAAGTAAAGCCGCATGCCTTTAAGTGAACTTTTGAGCCCAAATGCAGCCCATCTTGCATGGTAAATTTTTGGGAAAAATTTATAAATCAGGTGTATACTTTACACCAATTCAAAAATCAGGTTTATAGTTTGAAAATTCAAAAATCAGATTTTTTTTATTTTTTATTTATGAAATAATAAATTATTAAATCAATTTATTATTTAATATTTAATTCTAAAATAATATAATT